TAGGGGGTTAGGGATAATGTTTGCATACACTTTACTGTAGAAACAACTGTCCAGACTTGAGATGCAACAGTAACACGCCATGTCCACGGTGAGAGAGGGTTAGAGAAAAGCTCTTGTTCTTACTCATGTAATTTGCACAGGTCGACAAGCGTGAGCTGCCAGGACGGACCCTGCTCTTTGTGCCTGGCTACAAGGAGAAGGTCGAGTTTGGTGTGCTGGTCTACTTTGCCTACAAGGTTGAGGGCTCGGGTAAATCTAGCTTTAAAATGTATTTTTTGGCTGTATAATTTACTGAAGATTAACTTGAGGTTTCAGTCTGCACACATTGACCTTCAATTACTGAATCCGTCTTTAGATATTTCACTATAGCGACAGCTCCATCCTATGAAGGTGGCAGCGCACTGAATATTACTTGGAGATATTTCTTGGGTTTATCAGAGCCTCTTGGCCAAAGATTAAAGTTGATGTGGTGCATTCTCCAAAAGTCCCCAGTAACATTTAACTCGCCCTAAGTGTGGGTCTACATGTGTCTTTTTGCATTTAGACGAGGAACTGATTGTTGCAACGACCCGTATTGAGACCATGCTTGGAGATACAGCCGTTGCCGTCCATCCCAACGACGAGCGTTTCAAGCACCTGCATGGCAAGCGTGTCATCCATCCCTTCCGTAATTGCTCCTTGCCCATCCTCTGTGATGAGTTTGTTGACATGAACTTTGGAACTGGTGAGTTGAATAGCTAGTTCATTTGACTCCCTTGAGATCACCGTCGTTGCTTGCCTCGAGCATTGCCTGTTTGCAGTTGATAGTGCTTTCTCGTGTGATAAAATTAACATGAATTGACTTCGATTTTAATTGAAAACATAAATTCTGAGGGTTTTACGGCTTATGTTAAATTATCATAACAGTGTACCACAATGTTAGAGAAATCTCATTCATTTTGTTTGTAATTCAGGCTGTACGTTAATGCGTCTTTTGCAACCTCTCAATGAAAGGTGCCGTGAAGATCACCCCAGCCCACGACCCCAACGATTACGAGGTCGGCAAACGCCACGACTTGGAGTTCCTTACCATGATCGCGGACGACGGGAACATCACAGATGTCTGCGAGCAATTCAAGGTGAGATTGTTGCAGCTGTGGGCAGGTTTGAAAATGAAATATAGTTAGATTGCTTAAGGCAGCCACACTTGACCAGCCCAAGTTGAACTATTTTTTAAAATCCCATTATCACTCACCTTGCTGTCGGTTGCAAGTCTTGCTGCATTCACGATGAAGGACATAGCAGACAACTATTTTCACGTGAAGGGTTCCCTCCATACTGATAAACAAAATCAGTTATATACTGGCATGACCACCTCACCCTAGAGCCTGGCTCCAAGTGATTGACCAATCTGGCAAAATTTATGTTATGTGTAATTCAGAACGTTTTAAGGTTTGGTGCCCCGTAAACACTGGTGTCCGTGCCACGGTCGAATACAACAGGTTATTGAACCTACAATGAAGGTTGAAAGTTCTCCAAAAGTACTGTGACCTGTACCTTGTAGTGTTCCCTACAAAAGGACTAAGTATGCCCGCTGGATTGTTAACCTTGCTTGTAGGGATGATTACAAGAATCTTTTTTTGTCGTTTTAGGATATCTACTAATAATTTTATCTTTCAGTTTTTATTGGAAGAAAGGCTTGGATAAAAATCACCATTTAGTATTGTTTTTATTTCGTGTTTGTTTCAATTTTAACCTTAACACATGTATGATTCTAATTGTGTTTTTAAATAATTTTTGTGTTTCTAATGAATTGCTCAGCATGAGAGTTTATGATAGAGTGAAATATGAAAATCAAACGTGCGTGTATATGTACTTGCTTAGCACAGAGCCGATAACTGTCCAGTATCTTGGGTCATACAAGTTACTTGTCCCTGCTTCATGGCTAATTTATGTTTTGGGTCAGTAGCTGCAGTGTTTTCAGTTTGGAGCTGGCAATGACTAGCTCAGATGCCTTCTGCTTTCAGGGCATGAAGCGATTTGATGCCCGGAAGGCGGTACTTGCTGCGCTTAAGGAGCGAGGGTTGTACAAAGAGACCAAGGATAACCCCATGGTGGTGCCTGTATGCAGGTAAGAAAGAGCTAAAGCGCGGGAAATAACTGCTTAGCAAGCGGTTCAGGTTACCGGCGGAAATGCATGCTTCTCAGCTTATATGGTTACACATACAGATGTTAAGCACTCTTTTTGTAGAGATTCTAGGTAGATACATGTATTTTCTAGATATTGCTCATATTACAAAGCAAAAGTCATCCCTGTCTTTGTGTGAAGTTAGGGAAAACTTCAGATGACAAAGACAGTCACACTTCAAGAGGTTGTGTTTGCGAAACCTTCACCTACTGAATATTGGTTTACCCTAACAGCCCCAAGTCTTCCAATCTCAGTGTGATTTTACATACACCCTAGAGGGTTAGGGTAAATATTGTAGTGAAGTGAAAAGTGACTATAAGTAATCCAACTCACTCACGCTCTCGCTGCTCACATGCAATGCACAATTGTTACAGTGGAACACCGCTCTACCAAACACCGCTATACCGAACATTTGGCTGTACCGAACAGCGTCCTTGGCTCCCAATAATTTGTGCACAGAACCTACTGAACACTATTCAGTTGCCGTTTGTAATTCCCAAACGTCAACATGATAACAGTTGTGATTTTTTATGTTTGAAAGTGACAAGTGGCCATTAATTTCCCAAGAATTAGAAGGGAAAGCCACCAGTTGTCAACGGTATTCTATAGACACTGGTTTTGCGACTCTACATGATCGGATGTGGAAGAAAACTGCACGTATGCGCACGGTGGCATTGCACTAGCAATAGTCTAAAAAGGGTGCCGCTGATACACAAATCAACCGAGATTCGCCACAGCATGCATCAGAGATCGATCCTAAGTGGTAGTTTCACGACTTTTAGGATAAACGTGATATCAATTTTTTGACTCAAGTTTAAACAAAGACAAAAATAATTAACAGATACATTTCTAGAAACCTTAAACTTGAATGCAACGGCAAAACATCACGAAAACAGCTAGCCAAGGTATCACAAGAGGGTGCATTTCGGTTAGACAAGCGAGGGCGCTATTCAACATGGCAACGAAACGTTCGGCAGTTAAATTCGTTATACCGAACGACAGCTGTACCCAACATTTAGCGTGGACCCCGTCTTGTTCGTTATAGCGGCGTTTCACTTGATTACTTTTCACATCACTACAACTTTGAGCAATATTTTGTAGGTACTTATATATGGCCCCCATGTCCAATGTAATCTGGAAAGTTGGCACACAGTGGAACAACTCACAGTGCAAATGAATGCTAAACCTAGGCATGTTAGGATGGGGGGGGGAACTCGCCAAGAAGTGAATTAATTAGCACTCATACACAAGAACGTAAAGACACTCACCCACGACTGCAGTAGACGGAACCCACACAGGGTGGGAGAGAGATACTTCCATTCTACACTGGTGTCTGCTGTAATGCACAATGAATGGGGCTTAAAGTCTTACAGTGGGAGGGGCTTGGGCTTAAATAAATTACAAAAAGGGGGTACACACTACCAAGAAAATGAAGGGAAACTTTGAAAAAAAATACAAATTTTTAAATCAAAGGGGCTCTATTACTATAAAAAAAACTACATTTACTGTAACTGATTTCTGCCTCTGCCACACTTGTAAGATAGAGTACTTTGTTGCAAAGTGTCAAAGTCCCATTGGGACATCTTAGTTTGGAAAACCATTCCTCACCTTGTACGGAATATGTAGAGATGTACAAGATATGGAAGGCAAATGCAAACATTTCTATGTACATAAGATACGTTGGTTTTTGTCTCAATTCCAGTCGCTCCAAGGATATAGTTGAGCCGCTGCTGAAGCCGCAGTGGTACGTAGACTGCAACGACATGGCGAAGCGCGCAATAGCGGCTGTGGAAGAAGGCCAGCTGAAGATTGTCCCCGACATGCACATCAAGACCTGGAACAACTGGCTGACAAACATCAGGTGAGGCTGAGAAAAAAACCACCGTCTGATGGCCCAGTGTGCACCTGTCAAGCAGTAACAGGAAGTGCTGACAGCAGGTCATAAGCTACATAATGTTTTTCATTGTCAAATGGGTTGGGAAGTTGCTCAGATTGCAAACCACTGAGTAGCTGAATTTTCACAACAATGACAGCGCCCCCACAAGTTGTTGCTTCATTCTATAAAGTTGGGGTTCAATTTCTTGTGCCCCTGTCATATCTGACTTCCAATTTTGGAAGTTTAGAATGCCATTCTTTTCCAAGATTAAGCAAATGCTAATTACCTGGCATACAAATGTAATTTGAAACCAATATGAGTGATATTTCCATTTTAATTTCCAGAGGTCGCATGTAAAAGGGACACCAAAGTTTTGGACCCCAAATTTGTTGAATGACGCTCATAACTGTATAAGCCTGATATCGCAAATTTCATATCTTAAACGCTGTGTCGTTGCAGTGCATACATGTGTGTAACTCTGGCAGGAATGTTCAAGCCTACATGGACATCCCCATTTGCTCTATTTAGATCGCCAAAAAATGGAGAGAGGTTCTGTGTGGAGAAAAATCATGTGTATCGAAATTAAACCCTGGTCCAGTATCCCAGAGTTGGTGAGCCAGAAATAATGCTTAGCAGACTCTTGTTTTGAACCGAGATCCAGCCACGAAATATGACATGTTGACAGGGGGCCTGTTTTTTTTTTGCAGAGGATGTAACTTTTGCTCAGCTAATTTCTGCCTCCAGCGGCTCGATGGAATCAGCGCTCACAAATCCTCACCGGTTTTCACGTTCTGTCCTACGTTTTTTGACCCAAGTACTTATTGCATTGGTACATTCCCTTCCATTTGTACTTAACTACTGTACATTTCCCGATTCATTCTTCCATTGCAGGCAATGGTGTATATCTCGCCAGCTGTGGTGGGGGCATCGTATTCCGTGTTACTTTGTCACCGTCAGCGACGACAGTGTTCCCCCCGGTGATGTAAGTCATTTGACCTTTCCAGAAACGATTGTGCTGAGTTACGACTTGAAGGAAGACTTGACTTCTGTTTTTGAAGCAGTGCACTGAACCATTCGCAGTCTTTGTTTTCTTCCAAACGGCCCTTGTTTCAACTTTGGGCAATGACTTCACAGACAGCTCTGTTGCCTTAACCCTTCAGGAGTTCAACTCACCCCAAAATCTCCCATGGTTACACGTACGCCTTTCATTTTTCATTTTGTTCAGTCTCGTTGGCCAAGCACTCTGTCAGACTGGCAGTCATGAGGTCACTGACTGCACTGGGACGTGACCGCGACATGAGACCTCTTGTACAGTCAGATAGCACCTATGCCATTTTTGGAGCAAATTTATGACATGGCTGGGTGAAAAACAGTGACTGTCCGTTGTATCCAATGCCTGGTCATTCAGGGAATGGCAGTGCATTGAAGCAAACAGAACTGGGTATTTGCTTTGTGACTGGCAATTTGGAATTGTTATTGGGACGTTTAATGTCAGTTCTCAGGCAGGTTTGACTCAGATACTAATTCCTGAACATTTTAAGAGTGAATTATGAAAACTTCCCAAGTGCTTCGCGGGGTTAAAGCCTGTGGGAGGGTGGTCTCACTTCTCCAGTTGCATCAGTGTGTTACTATTCCACAGACGCTGTGTAGTCCTCTCACCCACCATAGTGCCGTCAACACGTGACATTACCGTCATACATAAATCATGTAGAATCCACCAGTATCCCCTGTCGGCCATTGTGGAAAGAGACTCTCATAGGTCCTTGCCGCCTCCTGGTAGAAATTGTTGAAAACGTGCTTCAAATTGTTGAAAACGTGCTTCAAATTGTTGAAAACGTGCTTCAAATTGTTGAAAAAAGTGCTTCAAATTGTTGAAAAAAGTGCTTCAAATTCTCCACTGCCTCATAACATTGTGTTGTGCCTGAAGAATTCTGCATACCTGAAGAAATGATTTATCATCCTTGATGATAGAATGTCGACAACAAGTACTGGGTCAGCGGCCGGTCGGAGGCAGAGGCTCTACAGGCAGCGGCTGAACGCTTCAACGTCCCTGCTGAGAAGATCTCACTTGAACAAGGTAAAGTAGCTTGCCCAAGGCAACAGCTGAAGGATTCATTGCAAAAAAACCCCACAATCGCTGTTGTCACTGTAATGTGCCTGTCAATTGTAAGATGCACCATCGGACCCCCCCCGGGCACGTACGTCAGTTGTATACACAGATGACTATATTTGGAGTCCAGTGACACACCCCTGGGTCTTGTTCCCGACGTACCATTCACACATTTTTAGGCGCACCAACACCGAGAAACGACGCGCAAAAAGATGTACAAATGAGGGGCTGTGGAGGGACAAACCATGACGGACTCAGTACACATTGCACGAACCAATTTCGCTTGCATCCGTATTCACATCGCACGAAAATGAGACCATATGTACAAGGTGTGCATGCCACAGAGATTGTACTTGAATTGGGGTGTCTGTTGTTTTGTTGATGTTGCAAAGAATCTCCGTTTCCAACAGAGAGAAGCCATCGTTCTTAGTTCTGTTCAAAAAAATTGTAGTGGTAGGAGTGTATTTGTGCACAAGTGCAGTCAGTGAGACTCTTCACCTTCCTTTGCAAAAGTTTAGGACCCCCCATACAAGATGCATTAACCTGAAGAAAGCAGACTTAAGCCAATCAATCATGGCAATTAGTATCTTGGTTAAATGAGCTATTTGACTACATTTCCTTGATTTGACATGTTAACAGTCTAATATTTAGCGTGCCCTCCTTTATTTCTGACTACTTAGACTGGCTTTGTTTGCCCATGCTGCCTTACAGATAAAATGTCATACGAGGTCTGCCTTTGCAAACAATTTCATTCAAATGGGTTTATACTGATGTTATGCACCGCTGTAAAAACATGTTAAGCAATCATTCAGTGAGATAATGTAATGGAGACCCAGTGACAGAAGTACCAATAAACGGTATGCATTCTCAAATGATTCTCGAATCAGTGAGCTTATCAAACCAAGGACAGAAGGGGATTCAAGTTAGCTAGATACTCGATATGCAGAGCATCACTTAACGTCACAGCACTGATCTGAGGAAAGAGAAATAGTTGCTTCAGAGATTGGAGTGAGAATTGAAAAAGACAGCCCAGAGTTGCATCACAGCCTGGGTGGGATTGGATGGAAAATGACCAATCGAGCATCTTAATACCCAGATCATGCTTGTTCTTTGGTTGCCATCATTCTCGTCACAGATGAGGACGTGCTGGATACGTGGTTTTCGTCCGCTCTCTTTCCGTTCTCCATATTTGGCTGGCCCAACCAGGTAGGTGTTTTGCGAGATGCTCTCAGATATAAGTGTACACTCCCTGTGGAAACCTTTCGTCCTAAGCAGTCCTAAGTCCTCCAATGTAATTTCAAAGTGTCATTTTCCACACACTCAGGGGTTTAGACTTAAGGCTTGGGTATGCTTAAAACCACGGGATTTCTAGCCATTTTCTTCACATGAATTGGCAATCGTGGATCTGTGATTTCTGGTACAAATCTGCGGCCAGACACAAGGGCGCTTTGCTCCTGTGATTCCCCTGCAAAGTGCCCTCTACTGGATGTGAACTTTTTATTCCCGTAGGTGGGTGAGTCAAAAGCATGCATCGTACATGCGTATTTTTCATAGGAAGGTTGGGGGCAATTATCGTAAATGGGGTGGACGAACTCTTAAGTTCTTTAAGCGGCAACATAAGATCTTTCTCATGTAAAGCAATATAATTTTTATTGTCACAATGACTACTTCTGATCGTATTCGTAGCCATGAAAATGAACTTAACCTTTTCTTTTCACAGTCCATCTTCAACAATTACTTTACAATTGCTTAGAGCTACACTTATTTGTTGTTTCTTATATTAATATGTATGTTTGTTTTGTTTACGGGCATGCCTACCACAAGCTTTGCTTTTAAAGTGTTGCCACCTCTTCTGGCATATATATGTCTTTTAGACTTGTCTTATTATTATATTTCTGCCACGTGAGGAAATAAATGTGTGTGGGATTGATTGAAGTATAACATACAACAACGTTGCTCTGTCGGCCCGTTGCATCTTGGCTCAGTTAGAAGACGGCTACGCTTGTGAGTGGCAAGGCGATGGTTTTAGTCGGCATGTATGCAGTTACGATTTCTTTTGGGGGGGGGCATTAGTCGGTTGGAGCATTTTTTTATAATAGGTTAGTAAAACCTGACAATTACCTTCGACCGTTAGTTTTTAAGTGTCCGCGAAATTGATCGAGCTTGCAGTTAACTACACCCATAAAGATAACTACCACTCACCCCCCCTATGGAAAATATTCATGTACTGGACTGCTGCACTATGCTTTGTGAAATTAAAATTGACACAGTGTTCTCATTGTACGGCAGATTGCAAAGAATTGTCTCAAACTTCAAAGTGTGCGTTCCATCGTTCATGTTCCAAAGTTTTGTGTGTGCGAGTTTGTTTCTGCATTCAACTGGGGACCCTGAACAATAGAGGACAATAAGGTCCCCGATTGACAGAGGGTCCCCGATTGACAAGTGTGTACAAAACATATGGGCGGTCTTCTAAAAAATGTAAAGTACAAACAAAAGAGGAACAATAGGGGGTCCCCAGTTGCAGGCAAATACACACTTGGGTGTGTGTGGAGAGGATGCACTTCATGTTTGATTAATTGCCAACCAAATATGCATGCAGCGTTAACCATAAGTAATGAGTGTCAACTCCCAAGTGCTGTTGACTTGGTTTCCTTTTTTTCAGACGGAGGACCTGGACGTCTTCTTCCCCGGCACGCTCCTTGAGACGGGTCACGACATTCTCTTCTTCTGGGTGGCGCGCATGGTCATGTTCTCCCTCAAGCTGACGGACAAGGTGCCCTTCAGGGAGGTGTACCTGCACGCCATGGTACGGGACGCCCACGGCCGCAAGATGAGCAAGTCACTGGGCAACGTCATTGACCCCATCGACATCATCACAGGAATTACGCTAGAGGTACTCCACCATTTTTTTGCATATTTTCACGTCCGTGTTGCATTACTATAGCACCTTTCATTGGTACTAGTACTCAAATGCAACTTTGTTCTCAAATGAGTACTTTGTGTGAGTATTAATGCCCTTGCTGAAATATCAAGGAGCAGAGTCCTTGGTTTTGACCATTAAACACGGTATTAAATTGATCATCGAAGTATTTATGTGAAGATGCCAAAGTGATTTATGAATGAGATATGGCCAGATCTTGTCCTTGGCTGTCAATGCGACAGGTGGTCTATTCCAAACCCTCAGTAGCAATTATAGACTCTACTCCAGGCTTGGGTGTGTGGTACAACTTGTACTTTATTTCACAAGTACTCCAGTAGCATTCGACAATGGTAATCCACAGTACTTAGTACTCCAATTAAAGTACCAAATCATAAGACTGCCATGCTGTACAGTTTCTGAACAACGGTTGCTTAGTACTGGACGCCATTTTCAGAGTGCATTTTTTAATTTAAATGCAAACATTTAAATACTAAACCTTGGTAATAAAGTTAGATGTTAACGAAATTTTAATTGAAGTACCGTACTGTCTTTTTTGTTCATGCTCAAATACCTTGCACTCTCAAGTGTGCGGCACTAAATTTTGCCGATTGAAACTTCCCTAAAATACGGCATCTTCATTCTCGCGTTTGTCCCCTTTTTTCCGCCATCAGAGTCTACACAAGTTGCTGGAGAATAGCAACCTAGATCCCAGGGAGATCGCTAAGGCCAAGGAGGGCCAGAAGGCTGACTACCCCAACGGCATACCGGAGTGCGGCACGGATGCTCTGAGGTTTGCTCTGTGTGCATACACAGCCCAGGGTATGTCCAGATCCATCTTCTTTTGCCTTGTGATATGTGTAGCAGTAGTTTACACGACAATGCTTATCTCACATTATCCTATTTAATCCTAACCATCCTCAATCCTTCAAAATCCTCCGGGTGGTTTTGGAGGATTTTGGAGGATTGAGGCTGCATGGCAAAATTGCATTACTGATTGCGTAGGATGCATTGTCTCAAGGTTGGGGGATAGACCTTGTGTCGCTTATGCTCAGCCATTCACACTGCCTCAACATAATGAGAGGAATTGCTGGAGGATTTTGAAGGATTGAGGCAGTGGGCACCCCTCCACAGAACATATTCAAGAAATACCGGAGGATTTTGGAGGACTGAGTTTGTATCCAATTTTTTCACGGGGGGGCAGTTGGAGGATTTTGAAGGATTGAGGGTTTATCCTAGCCAAAAGGTCAAGGCGGTTAGGGTTAAGGCAACTGTTTGGCATCACAATGCATTGACTGCGTTCATTCAGGGGATGCCCACGTGTTTTGTGGGTGTCACATTTATTTTGTTAGTAACACTCCACTGACACTGCTTTCACTTTTACCCCAAATCAAGAGTTGTCTTGCCCACAGATGTTTTTTTCCCAGTGCCGTTGAGTTTATTCAGAGCCAAATTGTATTATTGAGTCGCAATTATTGCATAGCATAATGTATTATTGCACGCCTTGAAGTTATCACCAGAGAATATTATGCATGTTTTGTGTTAGAACTAACATACATGTACATGTATGCTTATCAGTTCAGCTACCTGCAACCGCAGTCAGCTATTCCAGTTTTTGAGTACATACTGTATGTAGAGTTTATGGCAGCCTTCGGTAATTCTGGTTTCTACAGCTAATTTTTCTTTACCTAGACAAGCGTTATGTTCAGCAAAGCCTCTTTTTGATCCAGTCATACGGTACTTGAAATGATCATAGTTTTTTATCTGTGTGGTGGACAGTGAGTCCCGTACGATGTTTCAAGATTGCACAAACTGTTTAACTACTGACATGTTTAGATCCAGTTTGTGAGGCGAGACAAATGCTAGCTTGAGATCGTCAACAGTGAAAACGCCGTCGAGGTGTTGCATGATTGTGACGAGCCCTTGCCTAGCTATTATAAAGAGAGATACATTGTTTGCAGTTTGTACCCCTGACATTTATGACCGTTGTCGCAGGTCGTGACATCAATCTGGACGTCTTGCGTGTCCAGGGATACCGGTTCTTCTGTAACAAGCTGTGGAATGCCACCAAGTTTGCCCTGAAGGTCCTCGGAGATGACTTCACCCCCCTCCGCGAATTCAAGGTACGCACGAACTTACCAAGATAGACAAAGAAAGAAATTCTGTTCAATACAGCTGTTACGTTTGCCCCAGTGTCTTTGGTGAATGACGTTTCGTTGGATGGATTCTGTAGATAACTTTGGACATTTTCCTTTACGTATGTAGCTGTCTGCAACACTGTGGGGGTTTCTGCTTGCTGATGTATTTTAGAACAGTATCTTTGATATCATCTGTGGATGAGACTGCACGAATGACGAGAGATGTTTTACTCGGGTACATACCGTACCATGTCGTCTCTGTTTTTGATTTTCTACACACTGTATGCAAATATATTAACATCATATTAGTACATATTCACGATCTAATATTTTTTTATCTGAATAATTCAGAGAGCGATTGCTTGATGTACATGTAAGTGAAAAACAATTTGATCTAAAAAGGTGCGTTGTGGTTTTAACCGGCGATATCTGAATTAATGTTGAACCCAGTTGGAGTAGACGTCTGAGCATTTGTGCCTCCCGATTTGTCCTTGGACTTTTGGATAATCTATGTCATTTCCAACCTGAAGGCTGCCTTCACAAAGGTTCAGCAGGGGTAGTTTGTCAGGACTTTGCCTGATTTGGGGATTTTTTTTCATCAGGATTTACCCCGTTCCAAGATATTTCAAGCAATCATTATGAAAACTTGGAAACTTCTGAGCTCACCATCAAAGTGCTTTTACATGTAAAAGTTGACGTTGAATACAGGAAAAGGATATTTGAAGGGGTACCTCTCAGGCAAACCCAAAATGTCAACCACAGACCCTAGACTGCTGTGGGCCCCGGGGATTATTTCATGGATACTTCATTTTACTTTAATCTCAACCCTGGTTCTGATGACCCGCATTTGTCACAGTGTTCATATTTTTCCTTTTTTGGGGCAGCTGAGTGGTTCTGAGAGTCACATGGACCTATGGATTCTCAGCAAGCTGGCAGGCGCTGTCAAAGTCTGTGAGGACGGCTGGCCGGCGTATGACTTCCCTGCAATCACAACCTGCATCCATGCGTTCTGGCTGTACGATTTATGTGACGTCTACCTGGTACGATTCGTCATTCTTTTATGTACTCATGTCCTCGTATGAACTGAATTTTTTGACAACCTCCGTGGTTCTTCACCTCCTAGGCATCATTGCTAAGAACCCTCTTGAATCCTTCAAGATAACCCACCATGCAGGAAGCTAACGGTACATTCTATGCGCTTTATTTTCTCGAAAATTGAGCCACGTGTAAAGTAACTAGGGAAGATTGGAGGCGGGAGACGAGGGTCACCCCCAGCGAACAGATTTTTTTTTTGAAAATAAAATAGGTAATTTTGGGGGTCTTTTTCCTCTCTCATCCAAGAGCATGTGAAATTCACCAAAATGTAGCCTCAGCACTCAGAAACAGGCGTGAGATTTTTCAGACTTTTGTCTGAAAATACAAAGCAATATTGGTAAAGGAAAAATACATCTTACAGACTTTTTGTACCCAGTTTGGGATATTTTTTAAACTGACAATCTCATCGCTGCAGAAAGGGCATGAAAGATTACACAAAAAGAAGTCCCAAAGTTTTGGCCCACCCCAAGAACAAATATGGCCCCTCCTGAAATTTGGTTCCGGATCCGCCCATATGTAATAGTGGCAAGGTTAAACCTTCTTCACTCTTGTAAAATCCAACGAAATCTAGTAGATTCTGGCAGATTTGGGAGGGTAGGGTTAAGCTTGTTCAGCAGGTAAGGCAATAATTTGTCTCTGGTTCATTTTTTTTGAAAAGTTGGCACTTTTGTAAATGGCAGACCTGTGAAAGACCGTTTTTGTTTGTGCATATATTCTTGGCACTTGCTTTCAAGTTTGTGCATCTGTTGTGTTAACCTTTTTCTTACGGTTCTCTGTCGTTCACCCATTGGATGACTGAAGACTTTTAGGGTTATGCCAAGGCAGGTGACAATGAAATCTCTCTTGTTTGTGCATCCATAATTAGATCAACAAACTTGTTATAAAGAAAATTTCCTATGCCCTTGCAGGAGTCCGTCAAGCCAATCATGCGTGGCACGGATGCGACAGCCCTGGCTACCTCACGCCAAGTCCTCTATACCTGCCTGGACGTTGCCTTGCGTCTCATCTCCCCCTTCATGCCATTCCTGTCCGAGGAGCTGTTCCAGCGGCTACCTCGCCGGACCCAGAACGAGCCGCCCAGCATATGCATCACGCCCTACCCCGAGACGCAGAAGGTACGCCCCACCCCCTTGTTGCCTAAATCTTAACTTCCATGCCACTGAGCTGCAGCCCCAGTCTGATCACTACTTGTCTCAAAACCAGGGCCCAAGTTGGTTCACTGACCGTATTTCGGTTACTGCTCAAGTTTGCCTGGTATCCAGGATGTATTTCATGCATAGGTTACCAGTGAGACTAGCTACTGGTTGACAAATGGTCACTGGTTGAACTTGGCCTGGAACATTGGCCGAGAATGGAGCACATTGGATATGTAATCACATGGAACAGAGTCCTTATCGTTTTGTTCAGGACATGAATTGCTAATAAATCTTTGCCTTTCTTCGAATGCATGGCTGCTAACTCATTATGATGTGGATGACCATCGATACCCAACAAACAGCGTATTACGTGGCTTACTTTTTATACAGTTTTTTGGGGGGTTCTATGTATGCTTAAACTTGTCACTGGCTTGTATCCAACTTGCATACATGAGTGCTCAATATCACTTGCATGTATTTCCAGTATTTTAACACAGATTGAATCTTTTTGTCAGCATCCCTGGTACAGTGAGCAACTAGAAGCAGAAGTTTCTCTGGTTCAAGACGTCATTGGTAAAGCAAGGTCCATGAGGGCAGACTACAACCTGACCAAGCAGAAGGCAGACAGTAAGTCAGGTGTTTTTTTCTCTTCCCGCGGGCTTGCGAAGTCCGCCTGCCTTGTTCATGATACCCGACACTTCATTTGGCTATATTTGATTCAGCTTGGCGAATCTGGCAGGCAGATGGAAAACAGACTCTTTCTTCACTTTCAGCCAGTTTTTATTTTCCTGCCTTCCTGTGTAGTGCATAATTGATTTGTCTGAAGTGGCATTTCTGAGCTGTGATGAAGTGGTTTGCTGCCTTGGGTTGGGCATCAGAACCAAATGATGAAATCTGGTACCTACATCACAACTACAAAATACTCACACTCTACAAAATACTCAGTATCACACTCAACAAATAATCAGTAACCTGTCAGGCAGTGAACAAGAAAGGTTTTAAAGTGTTTTGTTTAGCCTGGTTTAAGTTTAAAGTTGAACCAGCCAATGAGGAATACTATTTGAAGTGTTTTGGCAAGGTCGCTAAAAAGGGTTTTGGATAAAGTAGAATCCGCAATACAAATGCAAAGATTTCATGTTTCTCAGTGACTTTGAATTTTGACGTTGGATTTCTGTCACGGATACCCACACGCCTGCGTTTTACTTCACCAGCTACATGTACTTGATTTGTGTACTTCACAGTTCCGTCCCACCCTATGTACAAAATCTGGGATTGTACCATCAGATCGGGCTTGAGGCCATCTTTGCAGTCTCCTGTCAATTCCCTGATCTCGTCTTGTCTTGTCAGTTACAGAGCTTTTGTCAAATGTTGCTTCTGTGCTTTGGAACTGCTTGCCACATGGAATCAGACACAGAAGATGTTACGTCTTTTCTGTAGAAACTCCAGATATAATCTCTTCTTGCAAGCTCTTTCTAATAACCAAGGCTTTTTTTTTCTTGGTATCTAGGCCAGCGCCTTGGAATGGCCTTCAGAGAAGGTGCCCACTTCAGATGTCTTATATCGTCATTACTACCCAGAAATACGTGCCACTAGCACTGAAAGTTGTGATTTTATAGATTTGATATATGTTACTTCCTGCAGCCACAGTTCTGGTACACAAAGAACAAATATTTAAGGAGAAAGCATTATTCTGCATACCAAAAGGGTTAAGTGATTTTCCATTACAGCCTACCTGCGATGTTCGGACCAAGCACTTGCCGATGCCCTCGCGCCTTACGAAAGCCTCATCGCTACACTCTCCTCGGCATCAGCTGTACACTGCCTGGTTGGAGCAGTGCCCCCGGGTGGCTGCGCCATGGCAACCGTCTCTGACAAATGTGAAGTGCATCTTTTACTTAAGGTATCGTCGGGGAGCTATGAGTAGACTTGATAAAGAACGATTGATTGAACAGCATTTTGAATTTGGAAGTACATGTACAGTACCTTTTGCGTACATTATTGGGCCAATCAGCCGTTTTATCTGATCAAAGCTGGGCTGTTGTCACTTGGTCAGTGTCAAGCACATCGCACGTGCATTGTGCTTACAAGTTGCTTTCCAATATTGGTCCAGGGATTGGATCCTTTTCATTCTCTAGTCTCTCGTCCAGCCGTCTGTGTGGACAGTGGAACTGTTCGGCCCTCATTTGGAGAAATGATGTATCTCGCATTTTGGGGTAAAATTGGGTAAAAGCGTATTTTGGGTAAAGTGAGGGCGGTCTTTTCACGTGTGCAAAATGCAGCTTAATTGGATGGATTGGTTTTTGTTGTGCTTCATACATCAATGTGCCAACATCACCTCGTGGTAAAATGCTGTATCTCTGCACTACTTCACCGAAAAATCTTTTCAGTGTCTGGTGCCACCCTGCTTGCACTGGTATATGTTAAGATACGTCAGGACTTCTGCACTCACAATCTTTTAAGAAGGTCTACTCCATGGAAAAAAAATCTTTTAAAAATGGCCTGTCATTTGTTTATTGAGGTAAATAAAGCAGGATAACATATTAAATGAATAAAAACTGCAAAATTACTTGAAGAAGTAAGCGTGGACAGCATTTGCTTGAAAACGAGAAAAAGGCTTTAAACTTTAAAGCGAAATATCTCAAACTTTTTCAAAGATACATCAATTCTCCGAATGAGGGCCGTGTTGCTAGTCATGGTTCTGGACTTAAATTGCTCCATTTTGTGGTGTAAATCATTGATCTGTTACCATTCTGCAAATGTTCACCAAAACAGACTGCAGTTCCCCAGGTCATTTAAAACTGAAGAGGGGCGACGATGCAAAAAGTCCTTTGGTGCTTGTTTCGTGCAAGGTGTCATTTTGAAGAGGTTGAGGCAGAGACGTCTGGAGAGATTGGTAGCTAATGCATAAGATCCCATCCCAGGGTAATTTTTTTTTCCCATGCCTTTGAAGGGCCTGGTTGATACTGAGAAGGAAATTGGCAAGCTAGCCCAGCGCATCGAGAAGCTAGAGGTCCAACGCAACAAACTCCAACAGGCAACCATGGTGCCTGACTACGTCGCCAAGGTCCCCCAGGCCGTGCAGGACAGCAACAAGGAGAAGGTGGGTGTGGTTTCTAAGCGAGGGGTGGAGTTGGGAACATTGGCCGTGGGATGCTCTGAAATGGGATATCCCATTTAATATGGCTGACGCATCCGTTGTTCAGTATGGTTTTATTGCACATACATGTACATCATGCAGTATCCACGACCGATGTGCATTGAGTTTCGTTAAGTCTTGGAGTCTCTGCGCAGGTGCTGTGGGGAAAGTGCCAAAAAGTGGCAAAATTTTGGATGATTCCTGGACATTCATTGCCATTTTTTTGAAGATACTCCACATTAGGTCCAAAAAATGAGTCTCCGACTCGTGGTCAGCAGCTGGCTCCAAAAGGGGTGCGGCGACGCAGTCCCCCCCCTTTTTTTGTCTGGAAGTGATGTATGCATAATGGGCGATCTCCATTGCAACTGCATGCACACGTTACGCTGGCCGCTACCAACACTAAAATAGACTGGGCCAAACACTTTCTGTTTAAAAGCATTTTAAGCTTGTACATGTGCACAGGACTTGAGACCACCTCGTTTGTCTCGTTCCCAGATGTAAATGTATAATACAGAAATTACATCATCTGACAATTGTATGGGGAAGTAGAGGGACTCCTTTACTGTACATATTACTGAACGGTACCCCATGAAAAATGCATTGAAATTATGCAGTAGCAGGATTCCAGACTATCAACCAAGTTTGGCAGCTTTTGAACCTCGTTCCATACCAAATAAAAAGCTTTTTTACTTTGCCAACAAGCAGGTTTATGGCCAACGCCCTGACCAGAAACTGGGGACTTTATTTTGGCCTTGGAGATGCCATCCCCATTTTCTGGAGAGAGCCCTTTTCACTTTTGGATAGAATTTTCAGACACTTTGATATTTCACATGATTTTCGGTGCCTCTGTTTTTAAGGCAACAGTATGAGTATTTAAATGACTAAGTTTGAATCCCATGGACAAAAATGTTTAGCAGTAGTTTCTAAGAAAATGTGGACAAAACATCAAAGCGTGCCAAACTAGAAGACTCCACTGTATCGTGGGGAAGGCCAGGGAATAGGGTTGCTGAAATTGGGGCTTTAAACCAGACACTTACCATGCTTAAAGGAATAACGCAAAGAAACATTTGTCGAAAAGGCGGCTTTGTCAAATTACAATGAGTGCATTTTAATTTTATACTCACATTAAAGTCAAAGATACGTGGAATTTAATCAGTTGAACATCTGCCAAAAGAAAACGTTTGTGGCTCATTTTCAGTGATTTTATAACTCAGCGGGTTGATGTTTTGCGGGTCGCTGAAAGTCAAGGATACAAAACGCTTCCAAGTAAATCCTTTTCTGAAAAAATCTGAGCGGTCATCTTCATAGCTGTGACGTGTCATTTTAACACATCAGTCATTAGGCTGTTTTAGGTATGGCAGACACAGTAGGAGGGCGCTATTTGGTTTAGGTCAGATCTTTTGTCCTAACTTCAAATTTATCCACTTCAAACAGCGCCCTCGTACTGTGTCTGCCATTCTTAAAAAAGGCTAGTGCCTGTGTATATACAGAGAGCCAGACCATGGTGTAAACTGGTTTGGTAGAGTCTTAGGCCGTGTCCAAAACAGGCTTCCAGAACTGTGACTAGGTCTAATGGCTTGGTGCCTCAATGTATTTCCTATGGAGCGAAGTCCTAGATCAAGCTCTAAACAACAGATTCGGTTGCAGCCTTACATTGTTGCCATCAATTTATAGCGTCTCTTTGCACAGCAAGTTTGGTGTGATTTCTCCTTTTGTTTCTCCATGCCCAGATGAGTCAGATGGAGAATGAGGTCCAGAAGCTTCAAGATGCCATTGAGATGTTTAAAAAGGTCGGCCAGGACAACTGACCATCAGCCCCCAACTTGGTCAACCCTTCAAGCATGTGAAAGACATCTGGCAGTTAAACTGCAAGCCCAAAGGGTCTATAACTTTAAAGTCAATAATAGTTGAGTATTGAACTGCTCAATTTCCAGAAAATTGTGATGCACCCATTATGCTATATCCAGCAAAAAATGAGACCGAGGCGTACCCCCCCAACGTGTCCAGTTGCTATTCACACTCTAGACTATTGTTACCTAATACATCCCCCTAGATGTCTGAAAAGAATTCCTCAAATTTCAGTGAAACAATGACCAACACAAAGCAGGGGGGGCTCTCTTCATTTCATACCGGTATCTTGCTTCATATACGGCCATGTGGTGCATGCTTGTAACAGTCTGAACTCATAAAGGAACTGTTTATTCTTTGAACAGTTTTTCCTTTTCTTTTTTGGTTTTTTTTTTGTTTTCTCTTGTTGTCCTTCCTTCTTTTGTTGACAATTTCAGGGAAAGTGGTCATTAGTTAATTCCAGTTTACATAAATATTTTGTGGAGTATTGTAGGGGTTTTAGACACTCGCTGCCGGGATTTCCGGTACTAGACTCCTTGGGTTTGTACGCATAGACGGGCTGCAGGAAATCGGACAAAGGAGCTGGGCCTTGTGACAAAAGACTCAGAACAAAAGACCTGGCGCTGGGAATTACGATCATTTTTCAGCTGGCATTAGCGAAAGTATTCCATCATTGTTTTGAAACGGTGTACCACTATTTGCACCATTCAGTGCCCACGGATTATGAGCACGGACAAAAGTGCTCCAGCTTTCCAGCAATGAGCGATACAATACCGCTGCATGCTAATCTGACCGCATTTGAAAAGATACCACTGCCATTCAGCAATGCACTGGGCCAATTTCGGGAACAAAGGAAATTACACAACACCTCACAATTCTGGGCTGTCTTTACTGGGTGGCAGGCCTGGTTGCAATACCCGGGCGTCAATGGAGGTTGCCTGTCAGATTAGAGAAGAATTTTGAAAACAGGAAATCTAAAATAACTCTGTGAAACTCATCCTGAACATGCAGCCTTCACCTGGCAGGAAGTGGTCAATATGGCTGAAAATCAGATCTTGATGTTGTAGAAGAAATCGATTGTTTAACATAATTCAAATTAATCTGTTAAGATTTAGATTAACTGTGAACAGTCTAAACATAGCAGGAAGACTTCAGCCGTTTCCAGCAATGGTGATATTTTTCTTTATATTTATATGAGGGGGGGGTACTTGGTTGCTGAATTCCATTTTATCACTTTCTACCGGTACTTGCCAACAGTATCAGCTTTCAAACAGAGTACTTTCTGTTCCTAAAAAGTTGATGTCTTGCAATAAACCACCTGCATCCTTCAACTACATGTATTTGTCCGGATCAGCTGAAGCGGTGGTAAAAACTACTCAGGATTCTGGGTAAAATTCTACAAGAGAGTATGATAATTGTCCAACTATTAGCATTAACTATAACAATAACAAGATGGAATGCTAGAATCCTATCTCACTGGACATGCCACCGCTATGAAAAACATTCGGAGAGGTGTTTTTAACTACTCAGAAATAGATCAAAGTTTTAATCAAGAATTTGAATTGCTTTGAGCCCCATAAATGTGAGAGTACCGGTGCATGTAATCAGATTAAATGCTTTAAACATACAACCAATGTTGCTGTTTCAAATCCTGAAATTATAGTGAAATCTTTAAAAATTGCTCAATAAAGGAGTAAAAAGTAGAGCATAACCAACTTAAATTGGTCTCAAAAATTCTTACTGTATGTTGTGTTTATATGAAGGACCTCGCCTCAGAAACTGTCTGCATCTAGAAAGCATGAATTATTCTATTTATGAAATTGTACACATACAGTTATCAGTGGTTATGTTGTATTACACCCAGTGTTACATGTGCTATACCCAGATGACTCTGGGCATGATACAAAGTATGTATATACACTGGACAGCAAAAGAAACTTGCCACTTCTGTCAAAGGCCACACATAAAAATTCACTCCATAGAAATAAAAATTTTTGTACACAGGTATCCTGCAATATCCCTTACTAATCACACGCCCAAAAGCCAGTGATTATCTTTATAACAAAGAAGAAACTGACATGCACAGCAACTTGGTTACTGAATCAAAAGTCACACACAAAAGCACTCTCCACTAAGCCAAAATGTCCCATGAATGGACATTTTAAACAACCAATGACAAAGTGAACACCTGTTTTGTCAAAATGATGTGCATGATTGGTTTCTGTATAGGGATGCCATCCTTACTGAGGATGCATACACATTATTGAAAACTAATGATTGTGACTTCTTTATTTCGTCCTGTGACATTGATTTCTGCGTAAAACTTACGGCTCATTCTGTTACTATTGATTCAGTAACCAAGTTGCTGTGCATGTCAATTTCCTCTTTGGAAATACATGTACAGTATATGTTTGTGTAAACCCATTAAAGTTTGGGCGTTCTTGTTCTTCTTTCATTATCAATTCCGTTATCTACCAAAATAACACACCCTGCTCATCTATTGAATATGTACGAGCTGCAGCAACCAGCATGACCCCACTACCTCAAATTATACCGATAACTGCTAATGTTACAAACAATAAGCCTTGCACGTGGTTACTTTCACTCATGGTTCAACATTACAATGTCTTATCACATGTTGCTGATAATTGCCGTTCCATGAATCTTGATTTCAATGGCGTACACTAATCTTAGTGTAAATGTTCTTATATGCAAAAATATATATTCATACATGTACATGTACATTTTATTAATCAGAATTACAACTGAGGGAAAACGATCTACTGCTTCTGGTGGTTGCCGGATACGAAAAACGACAAAAACCTGTCTTTTCATTATTTGGGAAAAGTGGAAACGTACGTGTATGCCTGACCTACATGTACATGTACTTCATTCATCGCTCTCAGGCTAGTTACATGTAAGCAATGATCAAGTAAATAAAAGCCTCGCTCTTCTTCTTAAATGTATATGTACACGACAGTGACTTTAAACTAAAGTGATAATAAAATGACAAATTGAACGTGTTGTCGCTGCCAGCAAGCGTGAAGAGATGCATTTCTGTACTCTCACTGCATGCCACACCCTGTTCACAATACCGCCTTATCCACTGAGCCCTGCAATCATGACCATGACAGTGATAAATTTGTTGTATTCTCATTTGCCTCGGATCTCAACTAAATGACACTGCTGAGTATTATATTATTAGAATTAGATTATCATATGAGATCAATTATTGGCATCCATTTTCCCTCCACCCCCCCCCCACTTTAACATAATTCTCTAACTTTTGTTACCAATTCCACGTACGTATGAAAACAAATCAAAGGTCCATGAACAATTTCTACAAATTAAAAGGCAAATGGTGTCAAGTCACAGATCTTTTTTTGTGGGGGGAGGGCTTTGGATGCCCCCCTCCAAAACTGTTGGCAAACTCCTGCTTCTTGTTTGCCATTTATGCTTTCAAATCAAACATACATGTGCACGTCCATGTGCATGTAAAATGTACATGTATGTCAGGAGTGTATGAGATGCGACAATACCATTTCCCACACTCGTTTATGCAGCACTAGCAGAAGTGATAATTTTTTTCTTTCATCCGCTAGACAGAAAAGTCCCTGTTCTACACACTACCGAGTCTTCCAGATGCCAAATCACAAGTCTGGTTATGAACAGTGAAAAGGATTGTGCGCAGTTTATTTGAGCTTGCGACTTACACATTGTACATGTAGGACCAAATGACGCACGGGGCTCATGTGTCTGTTAGAGACACTGCTTGCATCTTGTCATCCCACCTTTTCTGGTGCTGTCACGGCAGAGGTGGCATGATCCTTGCTGATGTGCTGGATGACCCTGAGCGAGTGCTGAAGCCGCAACATGAAAAAAGACCACTGCTGGAGTGGTCATTTAAAATTCCATGTTGCCATGTTTTTTGCCTTGGCGTCACTACCTTTTAGTTACTTATAATGCATAATTTTATCTGCAGCACTTGAAGCTCTTAAAATATTCGACCAACACAGAGCAAATGACCCTACATAACTTTACATGTACATACTGTACACTGTAAGTACCGGTTTATCTGAAGTAAACAATAAATCCAAAGGAACTGATACTCGGTAACGAAACACCACGTACATGTACATTACAAAAATCAAGTGCGTCAAGGAATCAGGTTCATAGAAATGCACTGGCCCAAATACAATTGTCTGTAACACAGAGAATTTAGAGGTACATGTACATTGTTAACAAAACATGGTACAGGTCTGAGAACCAAGACTGCCGGTACTGTACATGTACATCTTACTGTATGTTGTCAGCATTCAGAGCGTTGCACGTGGCGTTACTTCACACTTGCTATGGGTACAGGTAACGTTTGATCTACACCTTATGGAACATCTTCACAGAAACAGAATCAGCCACAGCGAGTTGCTGCCCATCTGTTGTGAATGTGATTCCATTTGGCCAGTAAAGACCCTTAACAATGCAGCTGACGAAGCCTCCAGTCTCGTCATACTGGTGGATGTGGCCAGTGCCTTTATCCACGTTGTGTACTGCCACATAAATGCCGGAACCGTCACAGCACACTCCTTTGCAGTATTTGACTTTTTCACCCATGATACTTGGTTCAATTGTGAACGATGCTTTACCCTCATCATACACCATAACTACTCCTTTCTCGGCATCACTGACTACACATCTGTCCTTCGCGTCAACAGCCAGATAGCACGGTTCAATCTCCAGATGTATAGTCTTTATGACTGAACAATCACTTGGGCTGTGTTCAGTCCAAAGCTTCCTCTTGATGTCGCCCACAATGATAGTGCCACACTTCTTGATTGCCACTGACACTGGTACAGCAAAATTAAACCTGTAGTCTGGTACATTTACTAGAACTCTTTGGATTTGTACTGAAAGATATTCAGACCAAGTCTGTGCTGTACAGAACCTTCCAGTCACAAGCTCGTTGTTTATATCGTACATTTTGACGTAGTTGGTACCATCGGCAACCACCAACAGATTTTTGGCAGCAGCAATCCCCAAAGCACCTGAAATTACAATATCGGGGATAAAGTACAAGCACATCATTTAGTCACAATTTATTTACCAGATCCCCCCCCCCAATCACCTCCAACACAGAAATCCTACCACAAGCTTAGGCACATGTACCAGGTACACATGTATTTGTACATGTACATGTACATACCGTGTATTAGTCGACCACCTCTATGCACAATAGGCACATAAGTTGGAGGTTGTTGAAAATGAAATGTCCTGCGTGTGTACATGTACGGTACGTGTACATGTACATGCTACAAGTCCTTAATTTGTGATTTGCATGTACATGTACCGGTACATGTAGTTCTAACTCTACAAATGGTCCTCATGGAATCTCTTATAGCAAATAAAACTAGATCAAATTTACACAAGTACCGGTACATGCCTTGAGCTCATTTACAAGAATCTAGCAGTTAGTGGAATGCATTCCTAACATCCTTCTTGGGGCCAACTTAAGACAACATACATGTACATGTACATACATGTATATGTGCACTGTGTATGTCAAACTGGGTGCACAGTACATGCACTTATTACATGTATTCTGCAGGGCTGTTTTCGGGGGGGGGGGTTAACGTTTATTTCTGTTTCTTGACGAAGATAGCTTAATCGGCCTGAAAGTTGCAAACACAAAACCAAAACCGATCCAACCCATTTACACTGTACTGTAAATGGTAAAAAAAGGGATATATGACTTGGATTTTTTTAAAGTACATAATCATTAGTTATGAGAAGGCTTTCATGCTATCATCATTTACATGTATGTAATTACAGTGGTTGCCAAAAATAAGATACATATACTTTTTGTTAGGCTCTGACAGGCCTACTTCTGCAATGATAAGCTTAAAGATCAATCACATTGCTTTTTATGACAAAAGGTTATTAAACAGGATTGGTCATTAGTACCCGTAATGACTACTTAGGTGGCAGCTATTTGGCGAGTTCAGTCCTACTGCAAGAATGCTCATACAGTAGTGAAAAAAAAAACGCATCAATGAGGGCGGCAAATAAATCTAGCGACCCATTTGATGATGTCATAATAGGACTCTCGTTCCTACAGAGTTGCTGGACCTTGCAACCCTGTAATAATGGTTTTATAGCACAAGAACAGAGAAAAGACAGGTCATTTTCGGCAAATGACCATGACATCACCTTGACTTGTCTGATGAACATTGCAGATGTTCCTGTAAAAACAACTTCTTGTTGCTCTCACTGTCCGACTTCTAACCAGGGGTGAGATTTCTCAGCTTTTTAGCCGATTTCAGCTTTTTATGTTTTGAATTTCAGCTTTTTTTCCTCACTGGCTGTGTACAAAAGTGTAGGAGATTTTCACAGATAAGCTTTTTAATGCCTTTTTCAGCTGTTTTCAACTATGTTTATCATTGGTCAATCTAACGCCTGTCTAACTGATGCACGGTTAAAGTTCGGGCAAGCATAGCACTCACGCACAAGGGTGTGTTCACCCAAAAATATTGAAATTTTAATTTGTATACATGTACATGCAAATTAAAATTTCATTTTTTTTCATTAGTTTTTTTCATTATTGCTACATGTACATGGAGCAATCTTGATTTAGCTTTTTTACATAATACTGGTAGATTATTTGTACATTATAACTCAATGTCATAGGTAAATTGTGAATCAGTCACATTGCAATGTGACTGATTCACAATACGTTTGCACATGTGTACTTGTATGTGTATTTTCCCCATGCAACTGACATGTACGCTGTACACTGTACATGTACATGTAGTGACGTGCAACAATGTAATGTACATGCATTACGGTACATGAACTTACCCAGACAGAGTGAAAGTTGAATTGTTCTCTTACATACATATGTATGTTCTCCTGCAGTGCTTAATACCATCACTTTGCTGATGTATCGGCGTTGATCATCATAATCTAAAATTGTCACAGCAATTTCACCAGGTTGAGGAGCAACAACGCCACGTGCAGATGCAAATTTCGATAAGTTCAAGTCTTTGAATTCCGCGCATTGTTCCCACACAACGCCAACATGCAACTTGCCAAGATTTATGCAAGCACTTTCATCTTCTGGACTCGGTTTGAACCTCAGGGAATACCTCTGAAGAATGCGATCAGCCTGAGCCTCTGGGGGCTTTTGATTACCAAGCGATCGAAGCCTTTTACTGACGGTTGGAAAAAGCAACAGCATTTGACTGTCTGTTGCTGTGTTCTGCAATTCTGTTGCTGTCTCAAGTGAAAGTTTTGCTCTCTGCAACTCCACGGTCGCTGTCTCCCCATCTGTACTTAAATTTTTGAAAAGATCACTGCATGCTGCTCTTATTTGGTTCATGAGGTTGTTCTCCTGGTTTGCTATCTCCCTTCGCAGTGTGTCTGCTCTATCTCTGACATCTTTTATTGCAAGTGTTGCTGTGTTCTCAATCTCCTGTTTAGCTGGAGATGTAGCAGCTAATGATCTTTCCAGTTGTTCTATGTATTCAGCAACATCCGGTAGTAGGTTTTTAAGTACCTGTTTGCATTTGATTAAAGCCGTTACTGAGTCCGTGTAGTTGTGTTGTGGTTTACAGTGGTCTTCAGTGGTACAGTCTTGGCAAATGAACTCTTCGCAAGTCTCACAGTAGAACTTCTTTTTTTTCCCGTTGTGATCTGGACACAACGACCCATCATCTCTTTTCGCAAGTCCTTCCTTCTCCTGGCGGATGTCTTCCATGGTGGTTATTGGGTGGTTTGAAATTGCTGCGATTCTAGAGTGCACTTTTTGGCAATTATCACAGATGAGCTGCATGTGGTCCAAACAGCAGTGCCGAGCCCCAGTTTCCACATCGTATATCTCGCACATTACTTTCTCCTCACCTTCAGAGTGTGCTTTTGTTACTTTTTCCTTTGGTGATGCCGCAACTTTGGCGATTAAAAGATGGTTCGTTGTAAGGCCACGAATACCCTGCCTGGGAAGTCGCATCTCCTGCCGACAGTCAGGGCATGATATCTGTGCTGTACCTCTGCGCTTGCCAACATACTTCTTCAGGCACTTCTCACAAAAACTATGCATGCAGTCCAGTATCTTGGGTTCCTTGTATACATCTTGACAGAGGCTGCACATGAAGTCGCTTCTGCTCACTACGTCTGTTGAACTGGTGATATTTGTCCCGGTAGCCATGTCTCCCTAGCTAGCAAAAAATGAAAACCAAGGAAAAGATCATTATTAACTGGCACTCAATTGGCCAAAAAACACAGATTGGGGCTTCAATTATTACAGGATCCGACAGTATTCATGGTAATCATTTACACATAGAATATTGCTGCATTGTCCAAGCACTATGTAAACTTACCAATGAATATTGTCGGATATATACAGTGGGCTCTGGATGTGAAGAACACTGTCACAACTCTGCTATGTCTGCCTACACATGTATCCTGAACACAAAAATTACAAACCATGCATCAATGAACAGGCTGGAGATCGAGTTAGAATAGTTCCTGGTGCAAAATTGACAGAACAAATGTGTTGATATACATGTAGTGCTTTGGTTCAGTCCAATTACTTCGCACTCTGAAAATGTAAATGTACATGTACAAACATAATCCAATCAGTGCATGTCAACAACAGTGAAGGAATCTGCCACATACATATGTACCGTACATGTACATGTATGGTACAATGAAAAAAAGGGATCATTGTAATGTACTGTAGGTACAGTACGTATACAAGTACAACAGTGAAGGGCAAGTTCAAACAGCCAAAGCTAGTCTTGATTCCAAGACGTTACTATCTGTAGCTGTGTTTGTGTATTAATGAATGCTTTAGCGCGGTAAATTTTGCAGTCAACAAAGGGCACTATGTGATGGACAAGGTCTGTATTCGCAGTTCCTATGCGTACAATAATCTTGCACAATCGGCCGTCACATAGCGCCCTCTGTTGACTGGCAAAATTTACTGTGTGAACAGAGATAGTAACATCTTGGAACCAAGACTAAGCTGAAGTTTGTGGCGAACTACATATTTGTACATGTACATGTACAAACATGGTCTGGCATGGTTCCAAGTAGTGCTGCTTTTGGCCAACATGTAATTTCTTTCGGCAGTGCTTGCATCAGGACTGTAAACATGCACCATTGCACCATACAATATTTGACTTTAATACACGGATCTTATGGACTATGCATACATGTACATGTACATGTATGCATACATGTAGTCTGTGAATGCATATATTTTATTGATTTTCCCCAATCACTTCCGAGGAGCCAATCAACGGCTTCATTTGAGCTTGTACTGAATTACTCATATTGGTTCACGACGTCATTCAACAGAGGATTAGAAGTACCGGTACATGTACAGTCCATTAGTTGCCATTTGTGTACAATGCTCGCTTGAGGCAACAAAATCATTCAAAATCTTAAGAAGGGTGCCCAAGTACTGATGCTGATGAAGTTTTGAGCTGGTTCAGCTCCAACCATGCCAACGGTAAATTTCCCGGAATGCATCTTCAGACACACTGTTTGAAATACGGTATATACATGTAGCATTTTTCATTGTTTCCTTCAAGTTCAACATAACAGCTTACCAGAAAGAATAATTTCACAGGGAGCTTAGTCCCATAACCATCTTTAAGATTTGGATAACTGCTCATGATGAATTGTAGGCCTACATGTACATGTACCTTAAAAGCAAAAATGGCATCCTGATCATAAAGTTTGGCAATTTGTATGTAAAATGCTGTTTACATGTACATGTAGGTGGTTGCAACCTGCCTTCAACCCTCCTTCTGCTGTAACCGTCAAAAAACAGTCAAAAATTCCTTCCACTTGATTTGCTTCAGTGCACAGACACATATGGGAAATTTGACTGATTTTGACAGATACATGCACCGTGGATATGACAACTGTGTCAAGAATGGTTATGTACATGTATGTATCTTTGCATAGGAGGGTTAAGATACCCTTGTAGATTAGTTTTACGTACATGTAATGTACTTCACTTGATGCAGCATGATTACAATAATTTTGCTTGATAATTCTAAAACTGCAGTCAACTATAACATCAAATTCAAGCTCTCCTCTGAAGAGGAGAAACACAGTGGTGTGAAATCTTATGACCATACCGGTAGGAGTTTCCATTCAGGAGTTACATGTACGCCCTCAGAATGCTCCATATTCGTGGCTGTTCTGGTTGTCATTTGTGTCAATGTTTATGACTATATTAAAGCTCTCGACCACAAAAATGCTGATAAATTATCAGATAATTTATTGGCAATAAATAACGCCCATTACCATATGTGTAACTTACATACATGTACATGGTAAAGGATATTATACGTGGCGAATGGTTTGTTTTCTTTCTCATGTCTTGATGTGGTAGCAATAACGAGGTCAATGAACTTTCTGCAAATACACCAGTGTGTTGCATGTGAGTTGCGTGTGTCAGATCGTCACCATTCTCACGAAGTGACGCTAATGTCCAAAAAATGCATTTTTGTCGATTTCTATTTTTTCAATATTCTCTTTTACCATATCGAGCTTGAACATTTTGACATGCTCCCACAAACAAAATCTCATTAATGTCATAGTTACATTAATGTTGCCTAGGGCAAACATCTTGAAAACAGCATTTTCACGAAGAGATGCAGTGCTAAACATCCTTTGAACATACATTGCAAGGAAACGGTTCCAAAGTAGGTCAACCGGGATTTTGGTTTTCACAAAGTGACTTTAGCTTTGTTACATTCACAGCTGTGCTCACGTAAAGACACGATCACTTTCCCTGTGATTATTATACATTGAACAGAAGGACGTTCATGTACAAAAACGTAATTTGGGTTTTCACAAAGTGACGTTAACCTTTGGTAATTAATTTTTGCTTATGAACCTGTTTTGATACTACTTACTCGGGTTAAGTGATGGATTAGAAGGGATTTTTGTTACATGAAAAGGTCACAAAATACTTATTTTGGTAATTTTTATGAAAGAAAAACTTCTCTGGTGATTATCTAGAGAATCTGTTTTTCCTCAAAAGCCTCATTAACGGCACTTCATGGTGACAGTCATGATCTGATCCCTTCGGACTGACCTAGAAACCTACATCCGTATCGAAGGGAGGTCCAAAAGTGTGTATTGCCAACTATGGTTTAATTGTGTATAAGAATTGGGGCGATTATGCAAATGTCAAACGGGTAGAAACTTTCAGCCAATGAGAAGTGTTGAGCCGTGTTGGGTTGCTGACTTGCCTAGCTAGCCCATAGCCACTCTGTCATAGCCACTCAAGGCGTTCAGAACCTTTTCATAGATAATTGGAGTTAATTTGCCCACCTCCTTCCCCTTGAGCCTACCGCTACAATTTTCAATCAGAGGATTTGGAATATACAGTATATGTCCTTTTTATACTGTGCTGGCAATTTGGCAGACGCAGACATCCAGCAACCCGTTATTTCTCATTTCATAATTGAGCTTTTGGCTGCTTAAATGTTCAATACTTAAACTGGATACCATGAAGTACTCTCGACTGATGTGCAACATCAGGGGGGTGATCTATTCCATTCGGGAATATATAAATTCCATTGTAGCAATCTCCTTCATCAATCCATCCGCACATGAAGACTGCTACAAGTTCTCATTATTCCCCAAAACCTTTGCAGAATGGAATAAATTACCACCTGAAATACATCATGCACCAAGCATTGCAATTTTCAAGTTGAAACTTCTATCTCTCAATGCAGGTGATATCATGGGGGGGGGCTCACTTAATGTAAATATCTGCACAGTCACTTCGCGCCTCATAATACATGTACATGTACATCCCTGATGAGATTATATGCCGTATTCCACCAGAACCAGAACCACAACAACTTTATCTGAGCTCGATGTTGATCGATTACTTTTGGGGTCCGGTCCACCTACCTGCCCAAGTCAAGACCCATTTCACTTGCTTCTGGTTGTAATGGATTCAGTACGTATGCGCACAATCTAAGTGAAGGGCATGAACATAGGACCGACTCGGGTATATACAGGACCGGACAGACACAATACAACTTGAACACGTGGGTACGCTGGCACGCGTCCACGGCCACGTTCATGACGTTTGTAGTGTGCTATGCTAGTAGTATAGGACATGTGACATGCGCTCGACGGTACAGTTGCCAGCCCGTGTCATTTCGCGACTTCAAGTTCAAGGCTGTGAGGAATCACTGGCACACGTACGTGATGACAGTGATGGAGTAAGTACAATGGATTTTGCTTTTATTATTCTAGAGACACTTTACAGGAATAAAATTGCACGTCCACGTGCCACGTACATGACGTTTGTAGTGTGCTATGCTAGTAGTATAGGACATGTGACATGCGCTCGACGGTACGGTTGCCAGCCCGTGTCATTTCGCGACTTCAAGTACAAGGCTGTGAGGAATCGCTGGCACACGTATGTGATGACAGTGATGGAGTAAGTACAATGGATTTTGCTTTTATTATTCTAGAGACACTTTACAGGAATAAAATTCATAGGCCTAGTTCTTCAGTTGAGAGCACGGCCGGCGATTGAAGAAAGGAAAGACCATGTTGAGACAATCTTAGGGCAAGGAACAGATGTAATGTAGGACTAGGATCAACGCAAAGCATGCCTACGCTCACCTGCAGTGGTTTCCCCCTTCAGTACATGTGCATGTCCCATTTCTGTGATAATGACATTCATGAGTAACTTTATGCCTAACTAAGATTTGGCACACATCTTGCAAATTGTTTATCCCTCAAGTCGTTGCTCCCCGTACGTGCAGCTGTCCCATAGGCCCTAAGCCTAAGAGCTCAACTTCCCTTCAAATTTTTGAAATGATTATTGACGTGACTGCATCAGGAATGTACAAAAACATGTAGATCAGTCAGTAATAGTCTAAGCAACTTGGACTCTTACGAATTGCCTTTTTGAAGATTTGGATATCGAAACGTGCCAATGTAAACACACTGTATACTCATCAGTGTGAAGTCGCCAACGTAAGCCGAATCAGTCAGGTTAGGCCGACAGAGTTAATGTACATAAGTCTGTGGCAGATGATTGAAGCCACCCACTTGTGGCTTTCACCATCTAGCTTCAGCCACACCTTTTGGACATCCCCTTAAAACCCACAACTCTGCTGGGGACACTGCCCTCATAGAGTGTGAGGCAATAGCAGCGTGGTTGGTCCCCTGCCTGTTGTCTCATCTTCTGGCATCACGTACATCTACCCAGAAGAGTAAGCCATCTCTTGTTTTACGACAATAGCAGTCATGATTTTGGTTGTCGCAACAATTTGTTTAAAGGTACAGTCCACCATTTGTCTTTTGTGGATTATTTTCCTTTGAGCAACAAAATTAATCAAAATCTAAAGAAGGGAACACAAGAACGGACCTGATGAAGTTTCAGCTTAATAGTGAATGCTCCATATTCTGAGAAGACTATTCTAGGATTTAGATTTCAGATCAAAAGTTTCTGGGTCGTGTTTTAAATTGTGCCTGAATTCAGCATCTGGGAAACATTCTCATTTTCACTCAAATTCAGCTACAACTTGTCACCCCCTGAACTGATGAATTATAGAAACTGCTAGCGTCTGCGGTGTGCATCGTGTCAATGCTTGCATGCATTTCTTATAGTGACTTTAAAAAAATTTGACAATTTGCCTGCTTGAAATCGTTTTTTTTCTTCATGATTACCGTTTGCCAGAAAGAACAGTGTCTCACAGAATTTAGTCCTCTAAGCCAAGTACATGTATTCTTTTCAATAACAATTTTGGATACTTTTTGGATAACTGCAAATGATAGACTGTACAGTACTTTTAACCTGTTTGTCCTTCTACGGGGTTCCCACAGTCACTGAAAATTCTGGGAAAAAGTTGTCCCAGAAAGTCATGGAAAACTCACTGAAAACTGGTCTGAGGAAACGTCATGCAAATCAAGATCATACAAAGGTGATTTTGACGTGGATAGTAGCTGTGGCAGTCTTCCCGTTCATTATTCCAAACAAATTTTCTGTGCAGAGTGGCATTAAATGCCATGGAAACTGTCATATTTTAGTTCTGGAAAGTGCAGGGAAGGTCACTGAATGTGATTTTCAGATTTTGTGGGAACCTTGCTTGTAACAATCAGGGCCCAATTTTTTTTGCGATTTCACACTTACAGAGGCTATGTATTTCATGCATACCATAAACAGTAAGTACAGCCAAATGCATCGTAACCTTGGAAAAGATTTGCCTAAACTTAGTTATGTAACAAAAAAATCTCTATCCGCACGCAACCGTTAGCACAACCACCCCGAGCACCGCCATGAAATAGTGCTCAACTGAGGTTAGCACATTTTTCTGCTAAAGTTAACACGATTTTTCTTCTGACTGTGTTAAGAAGCCCCATGGAATTGGGCTCAGACCCCACCCAGCCTGTTACACCCTGCACTCCCCACCACTGTATGGTTTTATGGATTTAGCAGTGACCCACAAGAAGACTCTATGCGGTGATGGATTGAAATGTGGATGTTTTGCTCATTTGGGGAAAAAATTATTAATGTGACCTTTTGTTCTTGTTTTTTTGTCATTTTTCCCTGTGTTTAGATTCGGGAAGGCCTCATTGCCAGGTGAATGTACCAGTACTGCCGTAGCTGAGGCTGGCTAGCATCATGGTGAGAGAGGAGTCAGTGGACCGACTGATGAAATCTCCAAAGTGAAGAGGCAGGTCATAAGTAACACAGGTAAAAGTCCTGTATTTAATATCATTGCTGGCTTTCTGCAAGGATGAATCCGGTAAAGGGGGGAGGGGCCAATTGGGGTCATGACCAAAAAGGAGCAAAAATTGTTTTTTATTTGAAAAATGAAAGGATCTCTTTGGTCTGTTTAATTTCCCTTTTTTGAAAAGTGGAAATGTAGCCTAACCCCTCAAACATTTTAAAAAATGAAAAGAGAAATTTTGGCCCCAAGAATCAAGTTTGTCCCCGCTCCCTGAAAAAATTTGGGTCCTGGATCCACCCTTGGGTGCTTGTGGCTAGCTTTTAGGGCAGCCCTGACCTAGGGATGGTTGTGTGCATTGTGTTAACCAAGCAGGACAAAAGGGATGAGGTTAAACCCTTGTAACCAGGGCAAGCTAGTTGAATGCACCCACTATACTGGAATTGTTCACATTTCCTGGCCTAAAGTTCCTTTTCCCTCATGGTTCATTGCTGTTTCATAACAAATTACCATTGACCAATGGTCCACATTTCTTGAGACAGGGTCAACATGTTTAAGGAGCAATTTGGGTTTCATAGTTTTTAATAGTAAAACTCATGAAATGAAGCGTCTAATCATAGACATAAAATACCTTTAGACCGACAACAGCAAGGGCATAATTTAAGGAAATTCTCCATTTTTAATAACCATGAGCATGAGCAAATGGCTGCCTTGTCCCCTGGGGTTTCATGATTTGCTGTGCAGCACTGCTCTATTTGAAAGAAGATGGATTGGGGGCAAATGTGGCCGTTGTTCATCAAACATTATTTGGCCCTGTTGGTCTTTTTATTAAAGTTCTAACCTAGCACAGTTCAATTTTTCTTTGTCATAATATTGGCCATTAGTAGAAGCCAGGGTGCACATTATGTGAAATTTAGATAAATTCCTGATATCCCTGTTTAGTAAATATTTTGAAAAGCAAATTTAATATACAAGCATTTTCTCAACTTTTACCTGATAGAGCACTGAGAACTGTTTCCAAAACATTTCAAAACTAAAGTAAAAAAATTGAAATCACATACATGGGAATTTGTTCAGGCTTTTTGAAGGTGAGCAATGAATATGGACAAAAATGTAAGTGTTCAGAGCTCTTATTTCAAGAAGGATCTAACTTAATTTTGACAAATATTGAACAAAACATAAAAAGGGACCTCGGTGTAAACAAAAAAATTCGATTTGTATCCAACTCAACACACTTAGGCATGCTGTGGGAATTTTTCTGCCTACATTTCAATCATTGATTTCTGTAGGAGCTGTTGGTCCATAGGTATTTTTAGGTTTGTGGCCTTCCCTGATTGGTGTTAAAGCATTACTGTAAAACAGCGCCCTCACTTGTTAGGAAAAGGGCAAGACAATTTTATGTGTTTAAAAATGTCCGTTTGATTCACTAAACCCTAAAGGGGTGTCTGGCAAAATATGTTTAACAAAGAGTACAAATCACAAATGCTTTCAAAAGTAATGGTTCAGCAGTGTCAAAGGAATCCTCGTCATAGTTCATTTTCTGACATGAAAATGGATGAAGAGCAATAGACACTGAAAGTTTTTTAATGAAGTAAAAGGTGTGGAAAAATAAGGAGCATACAAAGATCCTGTAATTTTTGAAGAAATGTCTCACTTTCTGCTCCAACTTAGTTTCTTTTGTGATTAATTTCTTCCCCAGACCTCCTCCTATGACAGCTGTGGGTATGCCACAAAAGAAACAGACCATGATGCTGATGAGAAGAGCGCCCTCGCCTCCTTCAACCTGGAGAGAGAGAAGATGGAGGATACGATCCTATGGGACTTCACAGAGATGATTCATGAGAATGTCAAGGACAGGAAGCAACTCAGATAGATGCCAGTCCTCGCCTCCATCACCAAGGAGGAACAGTTTCCAAGATTGCATGACGGATCCTCATCAGAATCTTGGGCATTGATTCACAAAAAGGCAAGGAAAGGACTCAATCTTCTCAGAAATGCAGTTCTTTGCTTCCACCTTAGTGATGGAGCAAAGTCTATGTGCATTTGTACACTACTCAAAAGGATCAAAGGATCATATGTAGTGATTAATAATTTAAACAAATGGTATTCACCTCGCAAAATGAACGTCGTGTGGCTCTTTTCTGGCATTGAAACAGGAAACTCCCGATACAGAGTACTGAAGTCTCACGACACTGGAAAAACTTTGGTCAGCACCTTGACTAGGTCCTTTACGGCCCTGAAAATGATGTATGAGATGTATGACCAAGTAATGAGAAGGCGCTGTTTATGAATTAGAATGATATCTCAGTAATGTGAGGGCGCTGTTTATGAATTGGAATGATATCACAGTAATGTGAGGGCGCTGTTTATGAGTTAGAATGATATCACAGTAATGTGAGGGCGCTGTTTATGAGGTAGAATGGTATCACAGTAATGTGAGGGCGCTGTTTATGAGTTACAATGATATCACGATAATGTGACGGCACAGTTTGAGTTGGAATGATATTGCACTAATGTGAAAGGGCACAATTTGAGTTAGAATGATATCGCATAGTGTGAGGGCGCTGTTTATGAGGTACAATATCATGGTAATGCGAGGGCACTGTTTATGAGTAAGAATGACATCGTGGTAATGTGAGGGCACTGTTTATGAGTTAGAATGATATCATGGTAATGTGAGGGCGCTGTTTATGAGGTAGAATGATATCGCGGTAATGTGAGGGCACTGTTTATAAGGTAGAATGATATCGCGGTAATGTGAGGGCGCTGTTTATGAGGTAGAATGATATCGCGGTAATGTGAGGGCGCTGTTTATGAGGTAGAATGATATGGTAATGTGAAGGCGCTATTTATGAGTTAGATCGATATCTCGGCTGGTCATGTCTGGGCACTGTTTGTAAATCTGAATCACAGAAATGAAGCACTTTGAAGGTACATGTATGAATCTCAGCATGAAAAAATTACATGTAACTGTTGATGAGGCCCTTCTAATCAGTCAAATAACGCTAAGTCGGACGTATCTGTTTGCAAATCTTCCCCCAAATCACATATTTTGATAATTACCTGTAAAAGTGATGATTGATACAAAAACTAATTTGTGGTTGTCAGGACATTAAAAACAGCTTCACAGTTTCCCAAAACCTAAACACAAAATGGTAAGAGGTCCAATATTTCAGTCACTTTTTCTCAAATGTCCTAAAAGTGTGACACATACGTGTACATTATTTTACCACAATAGGGTTGCATAGTACTGGCCAGTCTCATTCATGTGATCGTATTCCCCCCCCCTCCCGAACTCTCTAATACACTCCCAGTCTCTCACCCCCTTACCTTAGAGTCATCCCGGATCCCATCCTTAATTTATGTGCAAAGAGAGTGAAAGGTGGACATTTTGAAGTTGTGCAATACCTCAGCAATACACATCGCCCAATGCTTTCTGACCCTTGCAGCTAATTGGGCTCTGAAACGCGATTAACCAATTGCATTGTCTCACATTCTAGGGTGCTCAACCAAGCATGAACGTGAGCTTCAGTGTACAAAAAGTAAAGTCGATGAGGGACACACCTGACTGAAATTTCAAAGACAAACATCTGATCCTTCAAGTTTTTTTCAGTATTGTATATTTGTATACAGTACAATGCTGCTTTAATGAACAGGGCAGGGTCCATACGCAGTGCTTGGTGTATCATACCTCCCCAACTATAGAGATTTCAATGGTACTGTTCCAATCATCCCATCTTCTTAGGCCTAAAAATCAAAATATTCCGATTTCCATAAAAACAGATGAAAAGTCCTGGCAAAAGAGGGCGCTATTTGCCAAAACACAGAGGGTGCCATTTTCAGAAAAAGAGGGTGCTATTTCCTATGTTGCAACGTCACAGTTGCAACTTGTTAAGCATACATGCATGTGTGTTCTAGTTCCTGTAAAACGGATTCTCTTTTGCGGCCGCTTGTTTTGCTAATATGTCATCAGACCTAATTTTTTTTCTTTAAAACAAATTTGTGATGTTTAGTAAAAAGTGTGCAGAAACTTTGGGAGCCAAGAGGCATGTTCCAAATTTTTCAGTATAATGACGCTGTACTTAATCTAAATTATTCATGACTTAAGAGGTACTCTGTAAAGTGAATAGACAATTGGTCAGTTTTTAAAGAAAGACTATTGTTCGCCTTTAATTTGTTTCTTTTCATTGTAATGCATTGACTCGTATTATAAATGCACATTTAAAAACATTCATGTTTACATTTAAGTTATTAAGATGCTTTACATTTGCTTCAAAATTTGCAAATAATTACCATTTGGAAACTGTAGACACTTTGATACTACTTCTGTTGAGGACTAAAAGCTTACAACTAAATTGCATGCTTTAAAAATTAAGCTGTGTTCCCATTCAGGCAGCTAAAATGCCAGCACTACTCAGTCAACCCAGTGGCTGTTCTGAACCTCACATTTAACAAGTTCACCCCCCTAAACAGAGATATTGACAAATGGGAAAAACCACCAACAGAGGACTGGGTAGCTCAGTTGGTGGAGCTCTGGTACAGTGTTCCAGAGGGTTGCAGGTTCAATCCCCGCTCCGGTCAGTTTCCTTGTTCATCTTTATAAGTTTCTCTTTGAACAAAATTCTATGTGCATTTTGTATTTTCCAAGTTGTACATCCACATTGCCACAGCATTAGAAGAAAGTCTTTCGCTTAAAATTATCACAAAACTGAAAATTGGTTGGCTCAGTGCTGAAAGGTCATTACTGTAAAAATGTAATTTTGAAAACACTCTAAGGGCGTTTACTCTGTGAACGAAAGAAATATTTGATTTATACTATTATTTTTAGTCCTAAAACTAGTTTTTTGCAACCAACATGTTTAAATTTTAACCAATTCTTTTTCCCAAATGAATGTCTGAAACAATATTTTTCACTTGACACCTTTCTAAGGACCTTTTAGCACTGACATGACATTAGATTCATTTGAAAATATTACCTTGCACAAATGCTTTGTCTGTATGTAAAAACCATCACTATTTATTGCTATAACCAGTTAATTTCAGTTTGCAAGTGAAATAAATGCCCATTTATTTAAACTAGCAGAACAACTTGTTTGTACATGTATATCTATTTGTAGAACTGCAGTCTTTTGCCACTTAACCCTTCTCCTAATCTGGACCATTTTACACTGCCAGAGTTTAAGGTACATCTGTTTCCATCTTTAGATTTTACATTACAGCCTCATCCTACATGTACATAGAAGACCTGCCAGTCTTAAACATCTTCCAAGCTCCTTATATAAAGTTCCCTCGTGGAGCCTTTTAGTCTCAATCTTATAAGCGCTACAATAAACCCAATAGCAACATGGAAGTGATGGAACATTATGAAGCTATGTCCTCAACCCTGGGGGATCCTCAAGAGCTCAAATTCTGATAGTCCCAAGCCCTTAGCCATCCACTCTACCCTTCCTGTCAGCTCTCAGACTTCCAGCCCCTTGGACTTAAACCCTTGCCCATCTCCAGCTCACAGTTTGGCTGAAAAATAGTCTAAGTCCAAACAATGGAGGGTTTAACATTTAGAAACGAGCACACCTTTTCAAGTAAGTGCCGTGGCATAGTGGTTAAGGACACTAACTGCTATGCACAAGGACCTGGGTTCAATCCCAGGTGGGCATGCACAATTTTGTTAAAAAACTTAGTATTAAAAAAAAAAAAAAAAAAAAACTTCTTTTCCGGGGACCCCTGGTTTTGAACCGGGATCCCCTGGCCTGGCAGCGAGCAAGCTAACCACCAGGCCATAGGCCTCTTGGTAGATATGATTTCGGAACTTTTATTTAAAGGTTAGGATTGCGCAATTTCAGAAAAGGTCAGAGGGAACAAACATTTGCATGTATTTAAATAACAAAAGCAGATATTTCAATATGTTAAAAAGACAGAGAATACACAAAATATTCAGACCTTGGATGTATTTCAGTGTAATTTAGGTCAAACATGCATTTGTAAACCTTTCTATATTTATTCTTCCAAATGATCAGTTTTATATCATGTGTCACTAAAATTTCCACTGTGTTGGTTAAAACTTGATCACATAACTTCGAAAAGATTCTGCTAGGATTGGAACGTCATGTCCTCTGAATTTTTCAACTTAAGAGCATATTTCACAGTTTTCAGTATCTTGCTATAAACATTAAAATTTGTCTGCTTTTCTGGATGGGTGGGGGCGCTACTGCCGTGATGCAGTGTTCAGTTCTTTTTTATCCTCTTTCCATTACCATTGTGCGATTAAGGCAGTGTTCAGTTAGACATTTGTTAAGAATGGTATTGTGGGATATGTATCTTCCTCCGCATACCGTGCAAAAGTATTCTAAAGTTGGCATAACTAAGCTAATGAGAAATGTGTACAGGCTACTTTGTCCGACATAGTTCCGGATTCTGTTTAATATACCTAATTTAGACGAGACTGTTTTTCTTACGTAATCAACATGTGGGCCCTAACTTAGTGTTTTGTCAATAATAACTCCCAAGCCTTGGCAAGATTTTTTTTCGACAATTGGGCTATCAGCAATGTAGAGGTTCAATTCTGTATTGGTGGAATTCTGCCTTCAGCCAATGAGCATGCATTGGGTTTTGTTTGTATTTAGTTCAAGTTTGTTTCTTGAGCACCAATGTAGAATTCTGTCAAGAGCTACATTCACATTCCTTTCTATTTCATTAATATTGGAAGAGCTGCACGTTAGAGTGGAGTCATCTGCATACATATACAAGTTACAATTTGGTGTAAATAATGAATAAAAGCGGTCCTAATATCGAACCCTGGGGGACACCAACTGACAACGATCTCTTAGGTATGATTTAAACCAGCCGATTAGTGAAGTAGACATGTTAAGCCTTTTCAATTATTCC